TGTCACTGTTGCAGCTTCTGAAATTGCTTCATATTCTGCTGTTATTACAAAGAGTTTTCAAAGAAACTTAATTTTTCACTTTTTAATTAAGACCCGAGAGGTTTGTTGTCACTAATTGGATTATACTTCGTAACATAATGACAATTTATGCTATATATTTTTAATATATCACTTTCATGAAAAAGCAAATATATTGATGAACCATATTTATTTTGTACGACAAAATATATCTCTTCCCATTTGTCTTGAAATAATCTCTTTTCATCAGATATTTTTCTTCGCAATTGTTTTGAAATAATCTCATTTCGTCAGATATTTCGTTTCTTTTTATTTCGTGTATTTCTATGTGTTTTGAAGAATTTCCTGCTATTATGGATAGTAAATTTATACAAATGTACGCCTGAAATTAAAATAATCTAAAATCAAAACTAGTGAACATCCACACTACTACAGAATTACATCTGTTCGAGCACACTCAATAACCATGCATATAATGATTTCGAGCATACATGAATGTGTGTAGCTATCGTGCATTGAGCAGAGATCGGTGTTTCAATAGCTGTGAGTCACAAAATTTAAGCTTTACAAGCCACGCGAATCTTGAAATCTAACCTGTACTTGAGAAATTAAAAACTTTACTGCAAAGCAGGTTTCCTTTAAATTTTGTTTACAAAAACTGTAAATAAATTATATTTCGTGCAGAATATAGTGTAAGCTCGCTGAGCCACACCTTATCGCTGTCTACAAATTAAGTGCGGATGAAATGCTAATATTGAATTAAAAGCTGATATTTGTGATTATTCATTTCAAACGAATACCAAACAGTAAAACTAAGTACCCTAAGAGAATTTTTCTAAAGCAATTTATCTTTTCTATTTTAATTTTAAGTTATATGGGAAATAACAAATTCTAGCGTCGTAAAGTATCCTGAATGTTAAGATAATTCTCAAAACGAGAAGCCATACTTGCTTTCGAATCTCCAAATCAGTTACAGTATACATACTATTTAAGGAGCGTCGTTCAAATAAGCATAACGGAAATGGGTTTATTTTTTGCAGATTCTTTATAAATTGTGTTCTATTGAAGATTCTTTACGTTTTGTGAGCATCTTCAGTTGTAGATTGAATATTTTTCGAAAATAAACTTTCTACTTACAATTTTAGTGCTCTTAATCTGCATAGAACGCATAAATTACTAAATGGGGCTTGAAATGAAGGTGTAATACGGGAAAACAGTGAACTTAATTCACTTACTGACAGAATCAACGTATACTGAAAAGGCTCTTTCATCAACTTATTATTTTATTCGTTTTATAGAAGATCACGAGTTTGTGAAACAAGCTATGAAAAAATATCCCAAAGAAATTCTGAAAAATCCTATCATAATTTCACACATTTACTCTTGGGGAGGAAAATGACTAGGAAAAAGTGAAAGAGAAGTGAAGCTCATCACTTTATCATCTTTTTTCTTAAATTAACGTTTAAGGGAAGTAGCTGATGATTATGGTATCTGTTTCATAAGTAAAGAAGGAAGTAATTGTCAGAAAAGAAATCTACAGCCCGAAAAGAATAAGAAACAGAAAGAGAGATAAACGAATTACACGGATCCGTATTGCGTGTCTCAGCAGATAAGAAAGGAAACAGACTCAAATTGCTTAAAGCTTCGTACTGGAAAAGGCGAGACGTTCTTCAGTGGGTGGTTAAGAACTTTTTTTTTTTCCTTTTCCCACATACTGCATAGAAAGTGTTAAAAATTGTATATTTAATATCTTCGAGTATTTTGTGCACATGGTTTTGACACATAGAAATTTGACAGAACTATTTTACGTTTACTTTGCAAATAATAAACATTTCTTCATTGATACGCTTCCAAAAACTTCACTCATTATTTTAATTCAATATTTCAAACAATTTATGTGCTTCAGAAAAATGTATGCATTATAATATTCTGGAATGCATATATATATAACTGTTAAAGAGATGTTTCGTATAAAATGCTATACAATATGAAATATATGCTCCTAGCACGTGACTTCTGTAACAGCGACTACATGACACCACTAGTTAACTTCCTTTGTCGCCTTTTATAAATGATGCGGTTTCAGTTTGGGCTCCACCAGACGTTTACGCGCGAGGTTATTTTAGAGAAAATAATTAACCAAAATAACCTCCAGATGCTGACAAGCATATCATTGAAAAATTGTAAAAGGGTACCCAACGGCTAGCGTTCGAAACAATAGAAAGAAACACTATGAAAAATCCAAACATCTATTTCGATGAAGATGGCAGCCACTTTAAATCGTTATTATAATTTTATTTAATTATATTTTTGGTCTCGTATTTACACGTGTATGTTTTTATCTTTGAATATATATAATTTTAATGGTTAGTATTTGATTGATTATGGCAAAGCATTGCAAGGTTTTATAGTTCTAAAAGAAGACTGCGTTTCATATGGTAAACTCTTCTTGTAGTATGCTTTCAGAATTAAGATTGATAACAAAGATATTGAATTAAATTATTCACTGAAGGTCATTTGAACTTTCTTATATGTAACAGATACTGTAATCTTAAATGTTTTTGAGACACTTCCAAAAATACTCACTTCAGCAAACGTATGGACACAACTTAATTAGGGCGTGTTTTCTATTGTAATTTGTTCTCCAGTTAAAGAAATAACTCACTGAAGAAAAAATGGATAATTCGAAGAAGCTGATTCCCTGGTGTGCTAATTAGTCAAACACTGATTAGCTTTTCGCTCTAAAATGCGCTATGAGGAAATATTTTAAGAGTCGGTGATTTCATTTCTGCCATCTTCTTCAAATTCAAGCGGAACAAAACATTAAAAATACAACGATTGACTGTAGATATATGTATTAAAGCAGCAGAAGATCATGTAAGTCTGAAGATGTAATGCGTTTCCTTGATAAATGCTGTACGTATAATCTGAAAGAGTTTCACGGTAATGAGTTTAAGAAATACTTTGAAACTCGTATGCAATCGCACATTTTAAAACTTATAAGTTTTTTTTTTTTTTTATTTTATAAATAGTGGACTTCGGAAACTTAGAGTTTTGATGTAAAATGCCAGTTTAAAAGGAGAAGAAAATACATAAATATAGAAATTTCGTAATTAAATATATAAGGTATATTCTCACTTCCAACATGCCTTCGTGGTATAACGGTAACACACTCGACGTGTGAGGTCCAGGTTCGAGTCCCGCGGAGGGTATGGCATATTTTCACGTCTACTGCATTCAAAATAGCTTACAGGTCTTCTACAAGTGGCGCCCGAACTATAAAGGTAGTGGACAATAATTCATCGCCACCAGGATTAGGCGATTGGGTTCCCTAATCCTCAGTCGTCCTTTAAAAGGGGGAGTATGTCAGGTATTTTCTCGCTCCTTCCTGTATGCCTTCGTGGCGCAACGGTGTTTCGGCGAGAACACGGCTGATTTTTTATATACTCCTGATTCAAAAACACATAATGACTCTGCAAAGGAAAGTGCAAAATAAAATTATTTTTGAAATAAAAGAATAAAATGCAAAGCAAACTTAGATAGAAAATTAGTAGAAGGAAAGGCGTTACAATTTTATAGGAGCCTAATTGTTTACGAAATATCACACTCAGACAACTTATATAAAAAAAGCGTGTTTTTTAATACACTTTTTAGAAAGTTTGTATCTCCTTAGACTATGAAGACACAATATGCAGATGATTTTGATTCTGTAACAGAGTAGAATAAAATTAATTTTGCCTTAGTTGCTTATATGGATATACAGGCATCTTATTGTTAAAAACCTATTATTAAAAACAAAAAATATAAATACTAATATTTTTGTAATTATTTCCTTTTGAAACGTTTCGTTCGTTTAAAGAATTATCAGAACACTTGTTGGAATTTACATATCCTTGTAAAACTAAGTCACTGGAAACGTAAATGATACAAAAGACGTCGGCACATATTAATTCTTGAAGAACAGTATTCTTGAAAAAATATTCGCTACAAGAAAATACCTTAATACAAATGAGGGAACATTGTATTAAAGCAAATCTCGGTGGTATTACAGAATACTGATCATACTTTGATTTCCGATAATATATAGGCTGAAGGAGTAAGAGAAATATAAGGAATCGGGGTAGAGTTATAAGAGTTAATATTGAAGTATATTAAGCGATAGGAGACGAGGAGCTAATGATTCTAACACAAAAGAATAGCACATAATCAAAACTCATTTTTAATTCTTCAACCAATTAAAATATTAATTCTTTTTTCAGAAACATTTATAATCTCAAACTTTATTTGCATTTTTTAAATTCTAACATTTCTAATGATAACATTGTGAGATCTATCTAAAACATAGTCTCCATAAGAACTCCGAAACAGCCTAAATTGTCACTTCGCAAATTATGGCCGACTAAGAGCATTTTACTCAAACTTGAAAAGTCAAATAAGAAGCAGGTAAATAAAATCCAAGAACTGAAATTTAATTGTCTCAGCTTGGGCTCCAAAATATTGTAACTAAAGAACTACTAATGCTCAGATCAGTAATAAAGGAGATAAATGTAATTTTACTGTACTTATTGAAATTACTAATTATTAGTAACATGAAAGTTCTAATTACTAGTCTATGAAAATCAAAAGTATGTGAAAGGTATCGATTTCATGGGAAGAAGCTAAGGTTTTTAACTGGTTAAAAAATTAAATTAATAAACTGCATAAAAAACTTTATAGGTTGAAGTTATATGTTTGTACGCTATATCTCATTTTTCTTTCTCAATTCAAACTTGTGTACGCTGGCTATCAATAAGACATCGACAGGCAACGAACAAAACTTAATTAGTTCATAATATAGTTAGTTCGCAGCATCAATAATAAAAAATATCGAAGTTATAGAAGAGCATATCATGTTAATGAAAAAAACCTGTTTCCAAACTTTTAGTAAGAAAGTTGCATTTTCTTTCTAGAACTAATAGTTTTCTCTTGTAATTTACTTTTAGATGATAATCTTTCTCCTGAATTACTCTACACTACAATGGTGAGTGACATACGCCAAACGTGTCCTGTGAATGATTTTGCAGAAAAGTTGTCCACAGCTCTAAGTTCTCCGGTCTACAGATATGTAGTCACTTCAAGGCCTTCATCACCGGTAAAGTTCATTACATCTTTTATTTCTAATTTAACCGGTAACATTTCTTATGATAACTAATTTTCATGCCTGAAACTAATAGGTTCAAATATGGTTACCGCTGATACCGCAAATATCATTGTAATAAAAATAAGACAACAAAGAAAAAAACATTCCAGTTCTAAATCATCTCGGAACAAAACAGTGTGGTGAAAATAAAACATATTAAAATTTCCCAGTCTGAAAATATCGTGGTTCAAAACATGGTAGTGAAAAATAAAGCAGGTATGAAACACCTTGTTTTAAAAACATCACAGAAATATGCATTTAATGCGTGCAAAAGTGTAGAAATCTTTAACCCGCTTTTGGGAGTGCTACATTTACCTTAATTATTTTACTTTATGCAGAAAAGGTATTATGCATTCTTTTAAACTCTTTGGTGTTTAAATGTTGTTTAATATTCAGCTCGAAATCATACATTAATATATTTTTATCTCCCTGTTTATTTTTATTGTACCTTTAATTTATAATTTATAATTTTTATTTTAAATTTATAATTTTGTATTTATATATGTACCTTTATTTCTAATTTTCATTTTCTAAGGATTATAGGATACATTTAGGAGTAATCACAGACTCACATAGCTCTGTTATCACCAAGCATATAATAAAGAGTTGGCATTATATTCTTTGAATAACTTTCTAAATAGCTTTCACATTATCAATACTTTTTTAGTTTATAGTTATTTTACAAACTAGATTTTAAAAATCAATCAAAGACAATTTTTTGCTTCACATCTGTACGCTAGTACGTAAAATTTTCTGATTAAATTCATTTATACATCTGCTACTGAATTTTAGCAAAAGGCACGAAACCTATTCGTTTTTGTATCTTATCGAAGAGAAAGCTAACTCCGTGGGCAATTACGTATATTTGAATTTTTTTAGAATTATACACTGCTCGACATTGAAAATGCCACACAACATTGGTCAAAATTTATGTAAATTTTAAGGAACCACGTCACTGAGTTTGCGAATGATGGAAATGCGCAGTTCTCCGATGCACGTGAGTAAGATATAAGGAGGAACGTGCAGATGGCATATTCGTTTATTTTTCTGCCAACGAATTATTAAGAAAGTTGGTTTTTGTCCCGGAGGATTGTGTATAGGAGAGAAGCCGGCCGCCGTCAACAAGGCACTTCCAGCAATAGACGATTTAGAGGGGTATGGTGATCGGCTGAGAAGGGCGGGTTTGTCCTTACTCAATCGCAGCTGATAACCCATGATGCAGCACGGGCATCGCTAGCGAACATGATTGGAACAAGAATGTGGGAAGAATTCAGCATCAGACTGACGTCAGACGCCGGATCGACGCTCCGCCGACAGCTGTGCTGTCGCATCACTTTATCGCGAATCGCAGCATATCAAGATCCCTGGACGTTCCCGGACTACGTGTCGACCGAACCATTTCCCGTCGATTGTTGACGTGGCCTGCACTCCCGCGTCCATTAAGAAGATTGCTTGACCCCACACGTACGCAACGTTTAGAATGGGCGGACGGAGCGATTTTATGACAGAAGGCGAATCATTTCTCAGATGAGTCCGCTTCTGTTTATCCATGACATCGCGCATCGTGTGTGGCGTTACGTGAAAAAATCTATCCGACAGTAGCGTTAAACGCCCACGTGCGACCGTGGCATAATGTTTGGGGCGCATTCCTACGATTCCACGTCCCTCTAGTTCGTATCAGGACCTATACGCCCAACTATACGGATAATGTCTGCGGCCGTGGCAATCTCTACCTTCAGGGCTCCTAATGCAATTTTTCAGCAGATAATGCCGACCACCAGTGTCGCTCTTCCATACCTCTGCAAGTATACATGCTTCCCGGCCATCGTACTCTCCTGACCTGTCACCATGAACAAGACGGGATCGTTGGACCTCGTTGCAGACTCTGCCCTGCCTCGTTCAGAAGACGACTTGGCAAATGGTGAAAGGAATACAGCCACCTCATATCCCTCCTCCCCTCTTATTGACTCTATGCCTATACGTTGTGCATCGCTGTCTGCGGTGGTCTACATCCACTGAGCCGACGCCGTTCTCGCTCTGTATTCTGACTATCATTTGAAATAAAGATCACTTATTGCTGCTTGCTGTCTCTGTCTTTTTTCTAAATTTCATCACTTTCTGACCACTCCTTCTTGGTGTTGCATTTTCAATGTCGAGTAGTGTATTACTATATTATTACAGATGTGTTCACTTTTACAGATGATCATTTGAAGAAAATGACACGTACTTGATATATGCCTTTTGCTTAATTTCTGTTGCATCAATTAGCTGATTTGTCTTTCATTTCGGAATCACGCATCTGAATTTTCTGACAATAAAGTTTTGCTTAACTGTGTACCTATGTAATATTTTTCAGTGGTATGTATTTTTAACTTTTAATTTTATAACTCTCAAAATTGAAATGCAAAATTTTAATTAACGTTTCTTCTGAAAACGCGGTAGATACACGTAGAACTTACTTGCCGAAAAACATCTTAAATACATTTATTTCCTTAAACTATTATGACAGTGTGTGCACATGTTGGACGTATCTCCTATTAGACAGGAGTAAATATTTATACCATGCATTGATCCTTTTACTAAGCTTTTATGCAACTGATAAACATGTTTACATTTACGAACATAAATTCGAGATTTTCGAACATAAATTGTTTATTTAAGAGAAAGGAGACAAAAAAACGAGAAAAATGAGATGAATTACAAAAAATGATAATTTTAAGCATAAAACGAGCTATATCATATATGAGATTATCAATAAAATGGACAGATGGAATTCAAATGCTGTTTAAAATAATTTCTACTTTTTATGGTAGTTTAATAAAATATGAAACGATTGGAACTATTTATAGTTAATATTTAAATTTTGATGACGTTTGCTTTTAACATTTGGTTATTTTCTTTTTATTTGTTCCTCTTAGGGCACACCAAGATCTTAATTTATATATTTGTTATTCTTTTAATGTGTTGTACGTATATTTAGTTTTTCTTAAGATTTTCGGATAACGTACTCTAAGTATTCTTTTATACTTAAAGTACGTTATCCGAAAACGAATAAACGGAAAGTAAACGAGCTAATATTATACCCGTATGTATGTATAAGATTAACTTCAAAAAGTGTTTCATCTTTTCGAATGTACTAGAGTTTTAGGGTGACCGTAGCATCGGTTTTCAATAAAAGGTTGGAAAAAAAAAGGAGTTATGTGTAGCAAGTAGGTTCCATTTCGACTTTTCTTCTTACGCCTTCGTCTCGCGAGAACTGAATTGATTTTTCCCTTAACTCCTTTCATGGTCCCTTTGATACTATTTAACTCTGTAATGGCTTCTACGCCATTGTTATTTTTAGAGCTTTCAGGAATCTGTAGATGTATTGGAATATTTGGCATATTACGTGAAAAGTTAGCAATGCACCTTTTAGTCTGAGTTTAAATACATATGCTGAGTATTCACTGAACTGAATTTCAATTCCATCTACTCCCATACGACTGATTTTTGTTTTAAGTTCAGATTTAGATAGCTCAGAGAAATGTAGGAATAGCCATAGCTCTTAAAGATGTGTAATAGACATTCTTTCTGAGATGGAAAGCACGAAACGTAGTTTTCTTATATGAAAGATTTTAGAAAATAACCTTTAATTATATTATGATCAATTTAATTAACCGAAAGTTCATTAACACTTTCAGAATTCAGGTGCATTTAGGTTGAAAAGAAGATTAATTACTAGCGTAATTTTAATAATTTAAGAATTTTCAATTTAATATTCATGTTATTCTTCCTTCGTAGAAATATATTCTACTTTAAAATACCGTTCTTATTCCAAAGATGGCCCACCAGCGGCCGAGCGGTAAAGTCGCTGAACACTGGTAGTTCGGTCCGAGGTTCGAATCCCGCGAACGGGCTGGCTGCATGGGTGTTTTCGTGGTTTTCCCCATGTGTAACGTGTATACGAGCCAGTTTCCCTTAGAAAGTCCTCCACGAAGGCCTCCCTCCCCTTAGGCAGATAGCCCTAGTGTGCTTTGCCATAATTAAATACACCACACCATATTCCAAAGATGACTTTGCAGCATTTTCGAGTTTCCGAAGATGCGAACTGCTTCATATTCCAGAGGTATTTCCCATCTACCCCAGATTTAATATAGCATGTCATTCCCAGTGAATACAGAGTAGTTAATACTCAAGTAATAGTACTTTTATATTGATTATTTAGGCGTATATATATATATATATATATTAAAAATGAATCAATTAAATTCCGTACCGTTTCTCAAACGCAAAATCTATCTGATCTGACTAAGGGATAATCTTCGGTTTCCTTGTTGGAAAAATTTCGTCTTGGTTCTTTAATTACGTATTAATCATTTTAATATTTTGCCTTTTTAAAGAAAATAAAGAAATTTTTCTATATGTTAAAACGCAATTGATACCCTAGTAAACTAAGAGTTTTTAAAGCAACATCAACACACGACAACTTACACTATCTTCTATGATGTTCTTTAGAGAAATTTTGGATTTAACTATTTACGGTTTATAGTGTATTTGAAACATCAACACACGACAATTTAAACTATCTCCTATGATGTTCTTTAGAGAAAGTTTGGATTGAACTGTTTACGGTTTATAGTGTATTTGACTACATGAAACTTATACTGTCTGAAGGCCGTATTAACGTTACGCGGATTGAAACTCATTAAAGCATAGCCCAAAAACTGACTGAGGAAGTAAAACTGGGAACGCTGACAGTTCTACCTTAATTTCATTATGCAGCTGGTTCATCTTTCAGCATTGAATTTTATCTGGAATATGCATTTACCAGTTACTGTTATCAGTCTTATATCACAAAATAAAATAGAACGTTCAGTTTTAAATTAATCTCAAAAAGAAATTTACTCCTTTGAATGTACAGTACTTTCCAGACACTGAGACTGAGAGAACAATCTTAGAAAATAAATGTTCTT